TAGTATAGTATAGTATAGTATAGTATAGTATAGTATAGTATAGTATAGTATAGTAGTATAGTATAAGTTTATTTATAGGCCGCCCTTTTCCCTGAGGGGACTCAGGGCGGCTTACAATTTATGTGGGAGGGGATACATACAATGACGTATAGAACATACAGAATTAAATAAGTACATGTACAAGATCCTAAATAAGTACAGGAAGTCCTCAACTTAACAATAGTTCATAGCGAACATTTGAAGTTACAACAACACTGAAAAAAGTAACATGACCGTTTTTCACACTTATGACAGTTGCAGCATCTCAGTGGTCATGTGATCAAAATTCAGATGCTTGGCAACTGGTTCATATGACAGTCGCAGTGCCGTAGTGTCATGTGATCCTCGTTTTGCAACCTTCTGAGAAGCAAAGTCAATAGGAAAGCCAGATTTACTTTACAACCATGTTACTATCTTAACAATTGCAGTGATTCGCTGAACAAATGTGTGAAGAACGGTCGTAAAATGGGGCAAAATTCACTAAATGTCTCATTTAGCAACATAAATTTTGAGCTCAATTTTTGTTGTAAGTTGAGAATTACCTGTAAAGATTCACACAGTTTTGTTAATCAGGTTTAAAGTAAAGAAATTGGAGATTATCATGCAGAACCTTGCAAACTAAATAAAACCCATGCCTTCATTTATGAATGAATTCGTAATAGCGGGCTCTTTGTGAATTGCTTGAACCTTTTTCCCCCAGAATGTGTTCCCTAAGGGCTAAGTGTCCTTTTCCAGATAAGCTCAGGAGTGCAATGTTTATCTCTGATTGTCAGTAATGTTCTGAAATACGTCTCTTTCTTTCCCAGTCTCATTGAGTTCTCTTATTTAAAGGCTCGTATGACTATAAATGTGGATTCCTTCCAGAAAAAAAGGATGTTGGGGGGAGCCCTACTAGCTTGGGATTTTGCATCACATGCCTTTTTTCTGTGTAGAAGGAATTGTCTGATGGATAGCATTTCATCACGGCAGATCTTCTTCCTTGGCATTCAGAAGTGGTATTGCTCTGAGGTGGGCATATGTTATCAGTAGGAACCGAGCTACAGTTCTCAGAATAAGTATGGATAAAATCATGCTATTTGCCTTTCTTCGGAAATCAATCCAAATTGATTCAATGGAAATTTCTCCCCAGAGAATAGATATAAGATTGCAATTTAAAGATAATTTGCAAAATAATGAAGCTTTCTCAATTTAGTGTCTCTTAGATGTAATTCAAATCTCACTCAGTAATTTCCAAATACAAAGGCTGAAAGCCATATAACTCCGTATTATGGGATTTTCAGATCAGAATTTCTAGTGAGCTTTGTAATAAGGATAATATATAAAGCATTATTCCGTTGTAACTCCTATTGGATAATACTTCATTATTTCCATAAGCTTCCCTTGAAAGAAGAGTAATTCTTCATTTTCTTTTGACTTAGTTAATTTTCTTGACTGTTCAAGACTTGCTTCATCTTTTAAAAGTATGATTAAATTTTGAAAAGCTTAATGTGTCTTTATTTTTTGCAGAGCAATTTTCTCTGTGTTGGATTTGATGAAAATGGACATGGCTAATTTTGCTGTCACTAGCATTAGGCCACATTTAATGCAGCAGTCAGTAGAATATGAAAGAAAGAAATTTCAGGAACTGTATGAAAAACAGCCAAGTATGATTTTTCTTTCCTCCCTTTACTAAATGATACACTTATATTGTTAAAACGGAAATTATGAAATAGATTCAGAATGAATATCCAGTTTCATTTTTAACAACTTACTTAACTGTTCAGTAATCAAAAGAATATCAAATAAAAAACTCCATATATGCCCCCAATTCCTGTTTCGCCCACCCCACCCCGATCCAAAATGATGCAAGTCAAAACAAATTAAAAACTACCACCAAATGCCTGCATAGTCAGTGCTGTTTCCCACATTTTTATATATTATATATCCAAATTTTTAAAAAAAAATACCCTGGATTTCATGGCCTTTGCTATGTAAATCTGGCAGCTATTCCCCAAAGTAGAATTTATCTCTTGTGTTGGATGATTGTAAATGTCCTGGGAAAAATGTACAATAATGGTAGCCATAATTATTTAAATGTTTTAGTTATGATAATGAGTAACTAAACGGGCAGAAGAAATGGTGGTACCTGTCAATTTTATGATAACTTCACTATATGGCCCCTTCCACTTGTGGACCTGATTTAAGCCCTTCCTGTTTCCTTCTATGGGGTTGTGTGTAATAACTGGATTTGAGGTATGAGCTATTGGAGAAAGTTCTCAGGCACATGATGAGTATTTAGTTGCAGAAATTACTCGAAAGGCAGTATAGGTTTATTTTAAATGAATAAATACATTGGTGGAGTAATGACTGAATGAAAGAAAAATTCTCTCTCTCTCTTTAAAATAGATTCCTTAGATTTTGTGACTGAATGGCTGCAAGAAGCCATGGTTGATCTACAATCCAAAGTTGACTGTGCTAGTAATAATGATGCTGCCTCTGCCAGTAGAATTCCGGCACTGAGTCCTGTTGCTGTACAAAATCATGCATATATCCAACTACTCAAGTGGAATCATCTGCAGAAGCCTTTTCCAGAAGTAACTATATCTGCAATTTCTGAAATCTAGATAATAACTACTGTGTGAAATCCTAGGACAGATTTTAGATCACCCTTGTTCTTAACCCCTCCTGTTAAGGCACTGAAGAGTTTAATGCAAGGAAAGAAAACATCCTAGATGTTAGTGGGTATTGATGGGGAAAGAGTATTTACCTCTAGGCTCTTAGAGGAGGCATAGAAAGCCCCATTTCTTTGGAGCTTTCCATTTTATTTTTAGGTAGCTATGGAGAGATGGTGTGATGACTCAGGGTTAAGATGCTGTGTTTATTGACTGGAAAGGTTCAAGACCTGACTGCCATGCGACGGGGCGAGCTCCTGTTCTTGTCCCAGCTCTGCCAACCTAGCAATTCCAAAGCATGCAAGTGTGAGCAGATAAATAGGTATCATTTCAGTGGGAAGGTAACTGCATTCTGTGATGTCATGCTAGACATACAATCATGGAAACGTTTCAAGGTCATTGGGTCAAACAGAGATAAGCCCAAGAGTCAGCTATTACTAGCAGAATAAAATCCTCAGAAACTCTCCTGTGGAGGAGAGTACAAATACTCACAAGAGGTTGTCAAGAGAAGACATTCTCATTTCTCACTTTTTCTCTTCTCTTCACTTACATTTTAATTTTAATTTTTGTATTTATTAAATTTATAGCCACCTATTTCACTATCAAATGATTCTGGACATACATTACTATGATTAAAAGTCTTTTCTCCTATAATTACTTTACATAATATAATTAAACTGATTTTGCATTTAATTGTTTTTTACTTTTACTTTTTCAAAATAAGGAAGTTTGGAGAACTTTTTCTTTCAAGGGAGAAAACATTTGACTTTTATGTTAAATTTTAGTCTTTTATATTACTCTGGAATTATATATTACTCTGGAATTATACGTTTGTGAAAATATAGATGTGCTTATGAGTTAGAGTGGAGATATGGAACATATATTGAACAGAATAATTTGCTATTTCTAGTCACTATTTGCTATTTAGAATGTGTAGTAGAACTTGTCTTTTGCAAAGGAAAAATGGTTTATCTTCATCATATTAAACTTGAAGTTTCTTTTTTAGTTTGTTTGCATTTGGATATCGGGATCATTGAAAGCCTTTTAAATTAAATTGTGTTATACTTAAGAGTTGATATGTGGAATGCTGAGTTTTATATATGTTAATTATAATTTTAGAGCTTTGTTTGGATCTTTTGCTGATAACTGGATTGAAAAGTCATTACATATTTGACTTGACTATTGTTAAGATATAGCTTATGGGGTGAAGAGTTTTATATTTGTTAGGTAAGAGGAAACAAAGAGGTTATACTATACTTGCATGGAAGAGGGAGGGAAGTCACTTGGGAGTTCTTGTTATGCTTCTTTTTCTTGTGGTTTTTCTCTTTCCTTTTAATTTGTATCTTTTATCGCTCTAAAATCTGTAATAAAAGTATTTTTTAACTGAAAAAATAAGTCACCATATGTATCTAATAAATAAATGTATCCTCATGGAAAAATAATTATTAGTACTCATTAGAGAACAAACCTGTGAAATGACATATAGATAACATTGATCCTGGATCCTTTATTTTCATAGAGAACTAATTGCCTTTTTATCATTGTGTTTCTTGGAGTTTGAGAAAGAGGCTATACCTTCACAAAACTCAGACAATTTAACACCAATATCAGTAAGCTTACTGACTATTTGAGAAGCTGTTTTGTAATACTTGAACAGTTCAAAGCAGCACTGATAAGGATCTCAACATTGGGACAAATGAGAAGAGAATTTAATTTTGAGTTGTCCCAAAGGTGCTATTTCAAGAGGCAACTGGACTTTTTTTCCTTGAAGACATTTCGCTTGTCATTCAGGAAGCTTCTTCGGTTCAGTTCAGTTTTGAGCTATTACCAAAATGACACTTTGTTTTAGGCATATGCATGTAACCAAATACAATGCTTACTGCATGAGTCAGTTCTTAGAATATGGTTTATCTTATATAAGTCAAAGGTTGTGGTCCCAAGTTAGGATTTTAAAGTTAAACCCATAATTTATGAGTTGTATCAGTCACAGAAATTGCTGTAAATAAATTATGTTTGAATGACCAACCAGTTCTGATTGATATATTTTAATACACATGGCATGTCTTGATTTATGGTTTTTTTATCTATGTTGGTTTCCTTCTCATACTGTAGTTTAAAAATCAGCTAATTAAAAACTGGAACATTCTGTTCATTGGTATGAACTTTGCTTGGAATGATTTAACTACAGCGGATTTACAACCTCGAGATAGGTGGTGGAATCCAGTACCTTTTATAGTACTATGAACTGGGCAGGGTTCAACTTTCTCATGATTTTTAATTGAAGAAGCTCCATGGGACATTATAGAGAAGTGTATCTTGAATTGAGATACAATAGTAATTGATCAGAAGGAATTATACAACATTTGATCCATTGGTCTTGTATAATTTTACATTTGCTTTTCCTCTTACTTTTTACTTCTTTTTTACTTATCTGAAAGTGTTGTATTTACTAAAGGTTTAATTTCAGCCAGTTATAAGTTGATTAAGGTTTTTGAAAAGGAATCCATGCATGTATACTGTGGCTTGAGATCAAAAAGATTGATGCACCTAGAATAGTTTGGAAATTAACTATATTAAGACCTTTGAATAAGTCCACTTACATTAGGCTATGAGATTTCTTTCTTACCACACCTTTTCATTCTTTATATTCCAAACTTAGTCCATTTTCTGTGCTGAAAATGTTTTTGCAGACTGTCTTAATGGACCAAAGCCGTTTCCAGGAAATGCAGCTGGATTTGGACCAGCTTATTCTAATTGGTGCTATTCTTCTGGTCACATTCAATGCATCAGGCACAGCTCTTTCTGATTTGCCAGCTTTTACGAAGGAACTCAAAATGGCTATCCAAGTATTGCTGACAGGGCTACACCTTCCGTGAGTACCTTGCAGGTTTGGGTCTGTGATGGTTTAATAGCAATAGCAGTTAGACTTATATACCGCTTCATAGGGCTTTCAGCCCTCTCTAAGCGGTTTACAGAGTCAGCATATCACCCCCACAGTCTGGGTCCTCACTTAATTAATTAATGCTGAATGCTATTGACGTGAAACTTCGAGCTTAGACCTACCTATTTGAAAGGATTCAGGTGTTTCCCCCAGCTTCTGTTTATAGTAAAAAGCCTTAAAATTATTGGGAATATTATTTGCTTGGTAGATTTTTCTTAACTTGGAATAAGAAATCTGCTTAAAATCAGTTGACCTCAGCATTACCCAAGTTGGTCTATTGAGCCTACAGATTCTGTATTCCTAGCCAGCCAGCTAACCTATTTTGAAAAATACAGGTTTTAATTCCGCCACCCACCCCTCTCATAATTAATTCCTGATGTGATGTGAATAGGAAATGCTACTTTCTGTCATTGTCATTTCTTTATGAATTTAATTTCCTATTACAGATAATCCTCGACTTACAACTGCAATTGAGCCTAAAATTTCTGTTGTTAAGCGAGACATTTGTTAAGTCGGTTTTGCACCATTTTATGACCTTTCTTGCCACCTTTGTTAACCACACTGCAGTTGGTAAGTTAATAACTACGTTCTTAAGTGAATATGGCTAAATCACATTTTTCAGTGCTGTTGTAACTTTGAACGGTCACTAAATGAACTGTTGTAAGTCGAGGACTACCTCTATATTTATAAGGCAGAAAAATTATGGTATAGTTTCCATTAATGCCATTTTTCTTCTTCAGGACTTCTTAGAGGTTTTTAATTTGGGGCAAGGATTATTATTTTGCTGATACATAAATCAGTTTTAAAGCGTCACGTGAGCTATTCTAATATAAGGAAGCTTTTTATCATTCTTTAATTCTTCCAACCTTTGTCTCTAGTTCCTTCAACTTGGATGAAACTTTGGCTGTCGTAAGTGAAAAGATTTGTGCTGAAGTTAACAGTTGCCTTTCCCAGCATGGCTTCACACCATTTACATCTGAAAAAGTGATTGTGCTTAAAGGACAAATCCAGGCTCTTGCCAATCCTGATAATGCTATATGCAAACTGATAGGTATGCATTATAGATGAAATAAGTTTTGTTCAAAGTTTATAGTTGTCTGCAAGTTCATATTCATATTTGAGAACATGCCATATGTTAATGTTATAAAAAAGGGGAAATTATTTGAGATAATCTTTGTGATAGGCCATGTCTTTTATGGCAATAAACAATTTCTTTTAGCTAAGTGAACAAACTAAATGATTTTAAAAGATTAAGGATTTTATCCTGGGATAATTGCAGATATATAAAAAACAGGATATGACCCCCTTATATTTTATATATTTGGATGCAACCAGAATACTTGGAGTAAAAAGGCAATTCTGCTGAAGGAACTTCTAGTATTTATTATTGGCATAGGTTTCTTGAATCAGAAAGCAGCAGAATCCTTTAATTTATTTGACACATAAGTTTAGTTTGACTCTAGATAAATTGACAAGATAAATTAAGACCTCTTAAGTTGTGTTATTAACTCTCTTCTTTTCTCAAGATTCAAGGATCCAGTTGTTTTTAGAGAATTACCTTGCTTGTCATCAGAAATCACCACCTCCTGTGATTGGTGGATTGGGGCCTATTCAGAGAGAGCTGGAGGAGATTGCTATCAAGTATATTCGCCTTGTTGACTACAACAAGCTGGTTTTCAGTCCTTATTATGATGAAATTCTCAGCAAAATAATGAATAAAGAGTTTTCTTAGCTGTGAAGAAAATTGAAAAATGCCAGGTCCACTTGTATGCAGTCCCTCAACAATAGGGCTTCAGTGTAGGGCCAGAAGGCTGTTTTAGTCTGCTTTTATTCTTTTTTTGTCAAAATTGTAGGGCTGGAAAACGAAAGATTCCTCTAGAGACTAGTTGTTCATTTAGGATCCCTACAATCAGTCATGCCATGCTCTACACTGTTCTGGGTCACCTCTCCCTACAACAGCCCACAGCTATTCAGAGACTTCTCTTTAAAACATTACCTGGGGCAGATATATTCATGCATTTAGGGTAAAATGCAGTATCTCAAGAATCGTGCTGATCATATACTCCAATTGGACTTTTTACAGAAGTCCCCAGCATGGTTGGCTTGCATCACCTCATTCCACTTGTTCCTTTCAGACAGTAGTTTAGGATTACAGATAAATTTAGGAATCAAGTGATTTGCTGTATTCTGTCAAAGCAGAATCATACATGGAAAAAAATTGTGAATCTATGCTTGGATATTATCGCTGGCTTATTGTGGTTACCTTTCACCTATTGAAAAAATGTTTAAAGAAATAGCTTTCCAAACACGTTTCCAAATAATTTAATAACAGTGATTATTATGTTAAAATATACATATTTTGGCTTGGTATATAACTTATAATATAATAATAATATTATAATATAACTTACAATGGCCATTGGCAACATATAAGGATAATTATAAAAAGCATCCTGTTTGCATAACTCAAGTATATGCTAACAGGTTCAAATATATGTGTGTTTGTGTGTGTGTGTGTGTGTGTGTGTATTATTTACATACATACATATACATACGTACACATACATATAGTTCTTAAAGCCTATTCTAAAATCTGCAACTTACAAATTCCACATATTCAGCATTTGAATATTGGTAGTTAAAGCACTTTATATATATTCTGCAAGTCAAGACTCTTTTGTGTTTCTGTGAGCCATGGTTTTCTACAGCATTTGTTTCTGTACCTGCAGATACTTGGTCAAAATCATATATTTTTGTAGAGTTCCAGTTCTTTATTTCCCTATTCATAAGAATGCGGTTCTGTGGACTCAAAGAAGTGTTTTTGACTTGTGAGAACTCTTTTGAAAAGAGCGGTTTTTTAGTTTTCTATTAATGTAGATTTTCTTTGCAATAAATATGAGACCTTGAATAAGAATTTTTCACCAGATATAATGAGAAAATGTGATGAAGTTTTAAACATTAAGAAAGAAATAAAAATGATAATCTCAGAGAACAATTAAATAATTTCCTAGTTTCTTAGTTTTCTATTAATGAAGTATAAAATGCTACTAAATACAAGCAAACCTTTATAAACTGAAGCAGTTGAGGAAGATAATTCCACTGAATGTTACTGAATATCATTTACACAAAAGTTTGGGATTAAAAGAAAATACAGATTAAAGTCCTAGCTTGTATCCTCCTTGCCAGTGAAAATATGAAACTTCCAGTTCAATTGCAATTTTAGTTGCAAATATTGGCATTAGTGTGCTCATCTATCTTGGTCAGGGATGTCAAACTCGATTTCATTGAGGCCCGCATTAGGGTTGTGTTTGACTTGGACCAGGGTGGGCCTGGCTAGAGTGGGCATAGCCAGCTCGACGTGGCTCATGATGTGTGGAGGCACGAGCACTCTGCCAGTGAAAATGGGCTCCTGAGCTCCATTTTTTGCTGCAATGGCCTCCTGCAATCCTCTGCCATCAAAAATGCCTGCAGCCCTCCCAAGCTGTTTTTGCTGGCAGAGGCACAACAGTAGTAGCAGTAGCAGTAGCAGTTAGACTTATATACCGCTTCATAGGGCTTTCAGCCCTCTCTAAGTGGTTTACAGAGTCAGCATATTGCCCCCAACAACAATCTGGGTCCTCATTTTACCCACCTTGGAAGGATGGAAGGCTGAGTCAACCCTGAGCTGGTGAGATTTGAACTGCAGAACTGCAGTCAGCTGAAGTAGCCTGCAGTGCTGCATTTAACCACTGCGCCACCTTGGCCTGTTCTAGGCCTTGAGTTTGACACCCCTGATCTAGATGGTAGTTGACAGAAATGAATCCTGGCTCACCTTCCCTGTTAGGCCTGCAGGACAGAATTTCACATGCTCTAACACTGCTCAATCCAGAGGGGGAAAAGGATGTTTTTATGTATGCATATCTCTTGCTCAGTTGGATGTAAAACATTTATTGATTTATGTTACATAAACATAAAGGTTTATGGTTATATGATTCATATATTACAGATAGTTAAGATAGTTCTTCTCATACAATTATATTCCAATAAATTTATTGAAATTTGCTTGGCTGCCTTAAAAACTAATTTCAAGGATTCATAAACATGAAACAATCTGGGTTTTTGACAAAATAACGGGTTCTAAAGCAGAATTACTAGTGGATTGCTTTCCTGTGTCAAGTTTAATAAAAGAAATTCTATTTATTGTATTAATTAAGGTAGCTGAACTAAAGAGTGTTATGTGTTAGAGTGAAAGTTATATTCAAAAACAGGAATAATAACACAGAGAAGCTTTAGTTGGAGAGATGCAATACGGGATCCAAATGTTTAGTGGCCATCTGTGAAATATGACTGAGCTTTGTTGGCAAAGAGCAAAAGATCTGTTTTTTCACTTAAATACTCCCTTTAATGATTAGAATTACTTAAAAATGTTTGATCATATTCTAAATGCAACAATAATTGGTCTGATGCAGTATAACCAAACCAATTGTTTTTTATTAGATTGCTTTATTGACTTTTTTGTAATTCTTTGTTCATTGTTGTGAGTTTCAGAGATGCTTGGAGGTGGTTGGCATATAAATGTTATTATTATGTCCGGTTGCACAATTAGCCAGTTGTTTTAGAATGGATTTAGAATTTTTTTATTTATTATTACTTCAACAATGTATTCATTATATATCATTGAACACTTTGCGAAGGATTTTTATTTAAAGAATGCTCCTGCAAATGCCTTCCATTTGAAATTTGATGCCTCCAAATTTTAATAAGCAAAAATAGGAGTCCAAATGTGTTTGTTTTATGTAAACAAGTAGTTTAAAACTAGTATTTCTAACATTAAAAGAATAGCCCGAAATGGTAAAACCAAATCTAATCGTTCAGTCTCACCAATTCTGGAAAATTAGCCCTTACTTTAAATCTTTTTCATTAAGATCAGTTAGTCTTCAGATTTTTAAGTATTATCTGATATTTAAATTTATCCATCCACCAACTTTATTGCTTTAAGATAGAAAGCAATTGAAAAAAACCCTTCTGGTGGAACTTTAGCATTTTATCAGAATTGTCTGATATGAACAGTATGTGTTTATGGGAATTTTTGAATTGTTAATATTTATTCCAAGCTTGATGTTTTTCCTCAGTGTTGCTGTCATCTATGCTGTGTGTGTATCTCTAATGCAACATGGTAATTCATCTGTAATAAATTAATAATTTTGATGCTTGTATTTATGTTGTAGTTTCCAATAATTTATCCCATTTCTGCTGTTCTATTTCACCATTGTCAAACATTTGTTTATTTCACAAATGCTTGCTTTAGGTTTGGGTTTTGCTTCATTGTTTCCTTTAGAATTTTTATCCCCACACTAAGCTCTAGAAGAAAAATTCTGCATTAAAATAGGCAACTATTTAGGAAACAAGGTTTTCTAAAATGACTCCCGCATTGTAAAGAAGTGACAAAGAGGAACAGGAATGGCTAAGAGTCCTGAAGAACTGAAATTCAATTCAGGTTTGGCAAATCTGTTCACAAGGGTGTACCTTGTGCCTGATGTTTGAATGGACCTTTGGTGCGATAAGATTCCTAGAAGCTTGAAGTCTATTACTTAATAGACTTACGTAATAAATACTTCTACATATGCTCTCTCAGACCACCCAAACCAGCTCCTTTTTTCCGATTTTGTTGATGACAAATAGTATAAGAAAGTCCAAAGCTCAGATTCTTTCAGCATCTTTCCAGAGACCAAAGTTTGTGTTTCTTGCAAGGAGCAGATGAAGTGGAATCTGATGCTAAGTTACAAAATCTTATTCTTCTCAAAATCTCAACAACGCATGGATTAGACAATGTTATCTAAGGACCACAGTACTTATATATTAAAATTATCATAGTACAAACAATAAAGAGTTGTTTTTATATGAAATTTGTAATCAGATTTGCATTTTGCAGATTTCAACTTGAAATATAAACTTTCTCTGGAGTGATTTAAAAGTACCGAGAAAGGGCAAAATAGTAGATCAGAAATTAGTTGTATTGATATAGAAATACTAAGTGATTTCATACCTTCCATACAATTAAAGATTAATAGGCAAGTGACAAACTAAAATCTTGTCCCTTATCTTGAATTTAGCTTGTATGCTGAGAAAATGCTATCTGTAGTTATCACAGTACTTAGCATTTTATTTTGTAATCTAAAAAAAAACCAAATATTTTCTGGTTATATTATTTACATAACAACAAATAATGTTAATCTTTTGACTGAGAGAAAAGCCAGTTGTATCTCCCATAAATTATCAATGATTACTATTGTATGCCTAATACTCAAGTGTCAATGAAAATGGGAACTCTTCAGTTCAAAAGGATCACAAACCATTTTCTATTTCTATATTTATATGGAATAATTTTATTTCTATAAATTATATTATTTGAATTATTAGCAGACCTTTTCTAAATACTTTTGTGAATTAATTTTCATGCTCTGGACAACTACCTAATTTTCAATACTGTTATACAATAATTGCATCTTTGGATTACAAATTTCATTTCTCTTTAAAGTTTATTTCATATCAGTTTATCACACTTGAAGTCTAGGGAAAATAATGTTTAGAAAAATAATCCTAAAGACAAACTTCAATATACACTTATCCAAGGAAAAGTAAACACCAGCGAAACCAAACAATTTCATTTCAGTATTTAGGATTATTAGTGATTTTGAAATCAGACAATTTTTGTATCAGAAAAAAATTAATGAGACGTAACTTTAAGGAGATCCTTTATTTGAAAGGAATATTTTTTCTATTTTAAACTACAAAACAGCTTCCATTCATTCTGCCATAAATTAAAATGAAGAATAAGGCAGGACAGACACTACATGAGCAAAATGAGAACAGTTTGTTTTTCAAAAATGTGAATTTAAAATATTTTCCCATTATAAGCTTTCCAGTTTTTAAAAATAAAACTGTCAAAATCCCCACAAGAATTCAAGTGGTGTGTGAGGATACATCTGAAGACGAACCAAACACATGGCAAACACATTTTGCGTGGTCTGTGTCCCGATGTGTAGTTGTTGCCAGAACTCAAGATTTGCCAGTTCATCTGCCTTTTTCCTTTTCTGATGAAAAAACAGCTGGTAAAAAAGAGGCACCACAGTAACAAAACAACCTCAGTTGCAAGATGCATGTTAGAAACTTTCAATTCTTTTTAAACATTTGATTTGTTGAAAGACAACATATTACAAGTCCTTTATTTTCACAACTGAATTTGCGACATGCCTCATCGGATTCGTTTCTGTTGTCGTGCTCTGTAAATGTCATGAATAGGAGGAACCACTGATCCCTTTTCCTCGTCGTCATCTGAATCTTCGTTTGGTCTTTTGACAGATTTATTGAGAAGGGCATTATTTTCCAAAGGTCCGTTCCCTTCCATTGAAAGGTCAGGCAAGCCTCCCGTAATAATCCGTACAGCTTCATCCACAGCTTTGGAAGAGGGAAGAAAAGAGTTCATTTTGTGAAAAAAGGTTTGTTCAATAGTTGTGAACATACACATAATTTATATTTAGAGATATAAAGTACATTCATTAGTAATTACAGAGAAAGGGATAGAATACTGTCTTAATATTTTTGCTCAAATGGCCATTCCCTAAAGTTAAGGATGACCCTGTTTATATAATACCTTTTATCCAGCCAGCCACTGACCCAGTGAAACGACCTTACTGGAGATCACCATAACCAAATCTATAGTTTCCTGTTTCCCAAACACAGATCAATTCACTTTCTCTAAGAACAGTCTAGGACAATCTAGCAAATTCCATTATATTACCAGCCCTGAACCCATTGGCTAAGAAAGCAGTTATCTGAGATCTGAGCTGGAAACAAATACTCTGATATGGAACTGGGACAGTACAGGTGATAATGTACTACCACCAGACACTTCCAAAATGGGGACCAGAGGAAAAACAACTTACAATCTGGAAGTTTGCATCTTCTGACAATCTCCATGAGTTCATCCACTTGCACAAATGGACCCTGCACACAAACAAAAAGATTAGTCATTTAATAGGAATATTGACATAAAAGCATTATAGTTCAATAAATGCAATATTAATGAAATGAGACAGTAAACTACCAAAGTCTTCATTGAGATTTCATTATATTACAACTAACCTGAAAACACACAGGAGGTGGGAGAAGTTTCATTAGAACTACAGCAGCAGGTGGAACAGGAAAGACCCCCCCAGGAACTGGATGTAAACCTGGAGCTGGAATATAATAACACAAAAATAACTGAATGGTTTTATAGCAAAAGTAAAAACGCTTGATTGGAGTTTTATTTATTTTGGAGATGAATCTTACAAGACATCGTATGCAATCAATAAAAATTTGAGATCAAATAACTCAAACCATGCAGTACAGAATAAATGTGTAAGGATGAATTAGGAAAACATTTTTAAAATAAAGTAGTCAGAATGTAGCAGAGAATTTCCCTTTTTATCTT